GAGTCGGAAGACTGCCTCTGGTTTGGAGGGATGGCTCTTGCAGCGGGCCCAGGTTAGATTCCGAGCACCCAGCGCAGTTTCTGTCTGTAACTTCCCTTCCAGGCGATCTGACACCCTTTTCTGGCCTCCACGCGTTCCTACATGCTCCCAGTGCACAGACACATAACACATAAAAATTATTTTTTTTTGATGAATTAGAATTATTTTAACATGTACTTTCTTTAAAGAATAAAATCTTGGAGTGTCCCTTCACACTTGGGCTTTTGACTTTCATTAAAAAGAAGAAGAAAACTGGCATCTTGAAACCTGGCAGCGTGCTTGGCATTGCCTTCCAGAAGCCCTGTAGACTGTGACTTTGCATCTGAGGTTGCCATTTACTGTTTAGGGTTTTTCCTTGCGTTTCTGCTGAGGTGGCAGCTGGAGAACAAAGCCACGAGGATCTCTCGCAGACTGGATATTAAGAACCCCAGAAGTACTCTTCTGTCATCAGCATCCCCTTTAAGCAGAGCCTAAGTGAACTGCTATATAACGGTTATCCCTCAGCATCTACATAGTCCCAGAGGGCTTAGCACACCATTCACCAGCACTCTGCTACCCACAGGCTCCCGAGGCCCACAAACACAGAACAAATGAAAAGATGGGGAAAGGAAAGCAATGAAATTGTTTCTATTTAAAAAATAATAATAATAATCTCATTGAAAATCATTCTTAATTATGTTTTCCATGGTGAGGACCTTAGAGGGTTCAGGTGAATGGGTCATTGGGCATGCAGGATTAGATAGGTAGAGCCATTCTGGCTTGCCACGGTCCCTGTAAAAGGCTGTATCTGGATGCCCTGACATCACCTTCTGCGTTAGAGAGACATTTGCATTCAGCTGCCTAGGGAATTAGGTCTATTAATCATGTGGACTATGCCACAGATGATTCCGGCTCAGAAGAAATTGGTTCTCTGTCAATGCCCCAAAAACCCTGTGCATATCCAGTATGATTCCAACACTGGGTGTGAAATAAGATATTTTGATAGAGATTTAATTTGGTTTAGCTTGGTTTAAACCAGTAATATTCAGGCTGCTTTTTTGAGGTTTGGTTTCTGTCAGTCTAGAACTGATTTGATATTCATTCTTCTACCCCAGGCAAAAGCTGAATATTCACATATACAAGAGTAAATCGAGATCTCTATCTCCCACCTCATCCAAACCCACTCAAAATGGACCAGAGACATTTAGTGCAAAACCTGAATATGTGAAACTGCCAGAGAAAACACTCCAAGATTTCTGCATATGCATGTGCTTCTGAAAAAGACCCCAACATCTCAGGAAGTAACAAGACCTGGCAGGCAGGACTCTTCGGAATCCAAAAGCTTCACAAAGTGAAGAAAAGCCTACAGACTGGAAGAAAATCTTTGCCAACAACACATCTGGCAGGGGAATATCTAGAATCTATACAGAATTTAAAAATTAAACACCAAAAAGTCATGCTATGGGCAAGTGAATCGGGTAGTTTAATAAGAAGCACAGGTAGCCAATAAATATGTGAAAAGATGTTTGACATCTTATCCACTAGGAAAACTCAAAACTACACTGAAACTCTACATCACCCTAGTCAAGATGGCTACCGTGAAGAAAACAAGTGATAATCAATGCTGCTAGAGATGTGGGAGGAGAGAAACACTTACACTCTACTAAAGTGAGTGCAAATTAGTGTAATCACTATAGAGATCAGTATGGAAGTTCCTCAAAAAAGTAAAAATTTAAAAACCATATGATTCTACTGTATCAATCTTGGATACACACACACACACACACACACACACACACACACGCACACACACGCACACACACATGCGCTCACACACACATGCGCGCACACACACGCGCTCGCGCACATGCTGTGGATATCCATATGCTGTGAATGTGTTGCTCTGATTGGTTAATAAATAAAGTGCTGATTGGCCAGTAGCCAGGCAGGAATTATAGGTGGGACAAAGGGAGAGGAGAATTCTGGGAACAGGAAGGCTGAGGAGGAGACGCTGCCAGCTGCCACCAGAAGAAGCAAGATGTGAAGGCAGAACTGGGAAAAGGTACAAAGCCATGTGGCTAAACATAAATAAGAATTATGGGTTAATTTAAGTGTAAGAGCTAATCAGTAATTAGCTTGAGCAAATGGCCATACAGTTCATAAATAATAGAAGTGTCTGTGTGTTTACTTGGGTCTGAGTGGGTGTGAGCCAGGTAGGACCAGGAAAACTTTTGGCTACACATGCAAAGAAATTTTAAGCCAGCATACCACTGAGGTAATACATACCCATGTGTATTGATATACTATTCAAAATAACCAAGGTATGAATCCAGCATAGATGTCAATCAACAGATGAATGGACAAAGGAAATGTGGCATATATTCACAATAGAGTTTTATTTAGCCATAAAAAAGACTGAAGTTACATAGTTATCAGGAAAATGATATAACCAGAGATCACCATCTAAAGCAAAATAAGCCAGACTCAGAAAGACAAATATTCCATATACAGAATCTGGAATATATGTATGTGAATCAAGCATGGGTATAACTTTCTCAGTAATCCACTTTTACCAGCCAGGCTCTGCCTTATGAACGATCCACAGTCTCCAAATCAAGGGAATTTGTATTGAAAAATATAAGCCCATGAGAAATATTTAAAATTCAAACCACAACAGCAGCAATGGTCATCTTAGTGTCATGAGGAGTAGATAGGATAACATGTAGGATGATCTCGACCTCATACATCAAGAGGTCTCTAAGACATGTGCTCACAGGTGCACACACTGAATTGTGTTTACTATTTTTAGCTTACTTGTGAAGCCAGTCTCTCCAATCCAAAATATAACTTGCTTAACCCTCACAGCAAGCCCTAAATCCCCAGGGAGTGGATGGAGCCTTGATTCTGAGAATGGAACAAGTCCACCCCTACAGGTATTGGGAACATTTTTTAGTGTTGCATTGGTCTGACTCCTCAGAATTCCACACTGCAGAGATGGTAGAATGACATTTGCACATAGATTTGTCTTTGTAAGTCAAGTTCATGTATTCTCTGCTATCAATGTAAAAACTATTCTCAGAACTGAATAAAAAAAAATCAACTATGTGCTCTCTGATTGATGATTTGATGGATTTTTTTAAGAAAAGGGATTTTTTTGCTTCTTGTTTTATTGATTTCTGACTTAAAACCTAACAGAAATTGAAGGAAGTAACTTAGAGTTGCATTAAGGTAGTGTTTGAACATCTTCCTGCTGGTCATAGCATTACCATAACATTTACTGAGAGCTTACAATGCACGGAAAGGCCCCCAT